ATACCGACCTTCGGCCACTGGTCGATGGCGGAAAAAGGCTTCCACATCAATTGCCTGGAAATGTTAGCAGTATGTCGAGCCTGTCAGTTCTTCCTGCCAGTCCTGGAAGGGCACCATGTGCTAATCCGATCGGACAACATGTCGGTTGTGTCCTACATAAATCGCCAGGGATGCCTCTCTTCTAAGCGCCTCTTCATGCTAGTGGAGCGCTTCTTAGAGTGGGCTCAACTCAACCTGCGCTCGCTAAAGGCAGCGCATATACCGAGCAAATTGAACCGAGGAGCGGACATGTTATCAAGGAGCAATGTCCCCTCAGGAGAGTGGACGCTCCATCCGCAAACGGTTCAGAAAATCTGGGAGATCTTCGGCGAGGCCGAGGTAGACCTCTTCGCCTCAGAAGACAACTCTCACTGCCAAATTTATTTTTCAAAGACCAAGGACGCGTTGGCCCACGATTGGCCCAACCTCCTTCTTTACGCATTCCCCCCGATCGCTCTGATCCCACAGGTAATCAGGCGAGTGAGGGAACAAAAACACAGGGGTCTCCTGGTAGCCCCCCTGTGGATGAACCAGCTGTGGCTATCAGAGCTGACTCAGCTACTGATAGCAGCCCCTTGGCCTGTTCCACTGAGACGGGATCTCCTCTCTCAAGCGAACGGGACATTATGGCATCCTCTGCCCGGCCTATGGGCCCTGCGCCTCTGGCTGCTGAACGGGAGCCTTCGTGCCTCCCAGAGCGAGTCTTAAACACAATTTTGGAGGCTAGAGCTCCATCTACGAGACGCCTCTATGCCTTAAAGTGGTCTTTTTTCTCCGCCTGGTGTTTAAACCGCGGCAAAGACCCTCTCACTTCCGAATTAGCAGAGGTGCTGTCTTTTCTACAAGAGTTGCTGGATAAGGGTCACTCCCCATCCACGCTCAAAGTCTATGTGGAGGCTATAGCGGCCTCTCATGTCCCTATTGAGGGCCAATCAGTGGGCAAAAATACTGCGGTCATCCACTTCCTGAAGGGTGCAAGGAGGCTGAATCTGCCTCGTCCCCCTACCGT